ATAGCTGGTTCAAAGTCCTAAGGTGAGAAGAGCTTGTTTTATCTAAGGAACAGAAATGTGATCAGGTAGAAAGAGCTAGAGTGAGGGAGTTCCAGGTAAGGACCAGATGATAATTACCATGCATATTGCTCCCCACTTCATTCCTTCTTTCATCTAGCTGTTTTTTCCATTCTTTGTTTTCCTTTCCCCTCTTTTGCCTCTAGCTTAGGTTTAAGACCTAGTCAATTAATAGGTAGAAAATAGCTTTTAATACCTTCTATTGATTAAAAACCCAAATGAAATCAATAGGCATTTACTAAGAGCCTGGGTGGCATACGTACAGGGTGCCCCTGGCTAAAGCACTCCACATTGCAGGAACCCCCACCCCCCGCCCGCCCCCGACCCAGGCAAATGGAGCTGTTTGGTCCGGGCTGGCGGGACATGCAGACACCAAGAAGTAAAGGCTTCTGAGAATCCATTAAGAGTAAGAACTAACATTTACTGAAAACTTTCAAACTTAATGCATAAAAAGGCACTTAATTCAATCCTCACAACTCTATTAAGCCCATTTCAAGAATGAGGGAACTAAGGCTTACTGAAGTAAAGAAAATTTCCCAAAGTCCCCCAACAGTAAGACACAGAGCCAGGCCTGAAAGATAAAGACATACAAAAAGGTAAACAATGCAAATTGAAGTTCATGTCAACAGAAGAAATGACAAGAGTATGTAATAATCAGTAAAAGAAATAAAAGCAATAATAAGTAGTCACAAAAGCACTACAGGGGTTCAGAGGAATAAATGGCTAGGGTGATTAGGAAAAGTTTTGCGAAGTTGGGATGGAAGCCAGGCTCCCACAGCAATTGAAAAGGTGGATTGAAGGAGGGCAATTTGACCAAGAAACCGAGCAAAAACAATGAGGCGCCTCTGAGACACACAGCGTGTAAAGCAGCCTGGGCGGGAGGACACTGAATAGGAAAGCAGTAGGCTGCTGCTAAAACCTTTTCTGCAAGGTCTCCTCCCCCTTAAAACAAAGGCCACATTCCTCAGAGAAACACCTAACACCCTTTGGTGCCAATCATTCCACTCCTCCTTCCCTCACAAAACCTGTACTCCTGCCAAAATCGAAAACTAGAAGCTGAAGACATCCTGCACACATGGCTTTGCTCATGATAAACAGGCGTGCTCCTGTCGAAGCCCTGCAGTCAAATCCCACCCGTCCTTCAACGCCAACCCCAATGCTACTTCTTCCACGAAGCCAAATACTACTTCTCTTCTCTTTTTGGCTGGATCCCAAAGAATTCTGTTTCTTTTTACTTAGATACTCAGTGAAAGGCAGCTCTGGGCCCCGTGTAGGAAGCTGAAGCCTATGTGGGCAATAAGGGTGGATGATGGCTCTGCCTCAGATAACCAGGGAACAGACGCCCAAAGCTGCCAGCTTTTGAGAGAATGGTCAGCAAGACGAATCTGATCTACAAGCCCTAAATGGAAAACAAGAAAGACGGACCTTTGCTGAGCATGAGCAACCGCATGAACCGTCGTCACAGGCAGGTGACGGCACGTGCCGTACAGCCAGTTTGCAGTCCTCCTCACCCATGTTTTTAAACTGCTTTAGTCTGTGAGCTGTGGCTGTTTGTGAGGCAAATGCTTTCCAGATGGAAAACTTTACTGAGCAGCAAACAAGAACTTGTGCCACATACCCAGTGAGCAGGATTTTCATTTTTAAAGGAATCCCTGCTCTCAAATTCCAGGATCTAGGACTAGAATACTGGTGTGTGAATAAAATTATAATCTTATCTGAGCTGTCCAGAAACTTGGCTAACCCCCTTTCAGTATGCTGATGTGGATGAAACTACAGATAGAGCTTTGAGTTGCAAGGCCACAGGGATTGCAAATATCAGTAGGACACAGTGATACCTGAAGCAAATCTTTTAGTTTAAGATGAAATAAAAATGATTAGAAAGCTAAACCAGAATTATGACTAAGTTGGAATTAAAAGCAGAGACTGAAGCATTCACAGATAACAAAACACACCCCCAGATTTCTGACCAGATTACTGGCACTAACCTCTCAAATACCATAGCTATTAGGCCCTCAATGTGTTAGCTATTATTTAAGAGAAAGGCACAATTTCACAGACAAATTAGGTTGCCCGCTTTTCTTCAGCAAATCATAAAAACTAAAGGCAGGAAAGATTTAACACCCAAGTTATTCGATTCAAATACTGACAGGATCTGAAGTTTGTCCATATTTGAATACAGTAATGTGCCACATAACAATGTTTTGGTCAATGACAAACTGCATATATGACACTGGTCCCAAAGATTAGTACCATACAGCCTTAAGCTATACCATCTAGGTTTCTGTAAGTATACTCCATGATGTTGGCACAAAGACGAAATTGGCTAACGACACATTTCTGAGAAGGGATAAGCGACACATGACTGTAACTTCTACTCAAGGACACAGAAGATTTTTCCAACATACTTTTAAAATAGAAAATACTCAAACTACATAGCTTGTTGTTGAAACCCAGAAGCTGGGGCCTCTCCTAGTCCTTGCCCAAGGTATTTAAAATTGTCACTTGCACAATCTGCATACCTGTTCTGTATTTAATACCAAGGTGAGTATAATAAAAACTGAGGCTAAACCAAGCATGCCAAGGGAAAGGGCTCTACTCTGCGAAGTCAGAGATCAAAGACAGGCAAACTGATCACATAAATGTACCATAATTCATCCTGCTAACACATGGAATTCTTTTTTCTTTTTTTTTTAAGATTGGCACCTGAGCGAACGACTGTTGCCAATCTTCCTTTTTTTCCCTTTTTCTCCCCAAATCCTCCCAGTACACAGTTGCATATTCTAGTTGTGCGTCCCTCTAGTTGTGCTGTGTGGGACGCCACCTCAACGTGGCCTAATGAGCGGTGCCACATCCGCGCCCAGGATCCGAACCTGCAAAACCCTGGGCTGCCGAAGCAGTGCAAGTGAACTTGGGGCCGGCCCCCATGGAATTCTTAGAAAGGATCTCAAAGCCCTATCCATTTATTCAACAATTTGAACAGCCTACTACGTGCCAGACACTTGGATGAACAAGAGGTATGAACCCATCTTATTGAGCTCATACACTAGCCATTAGCACTTTATTCGAAAAACTCTTCAGAGAAATAATCTACAAAGAGAAAATCTTTCAAGTCTAATGCAAAATCTATTATTACTACCAGAGATAAGATATGAAAAAGGGAGATTTTGATGGATAAACTACTAGAAAATGACAAAAATGCATCAATCCTCTTTTTAAATGGTGTAAACTCAAAAAGAAACATTTTCCTACTGTCTAAAATGGGCACCAGAAGATATAACGGTTGCTTCTTTCCTTAGATGGTTAGAAAATTAGTAGTAGCTTGTAGTCACAAACCCAGAAGGCAAGGGTATTTGGTCTCCTTTAATCAAGAAGCTAGAAGCACCAGGCTACACACTATTTACATTTTTAATGAAAAACAATTTAGGCAACAGCAGCCAATGAAGAAAAACGGCACCACAGGGGAAATTGGAAATGACTAAAGATCCTGACCTACCCCAATGCTTTATTAAGGTGTGATCGGTTCCAACAAGGTGCCTTTCAATGATACCACTTTCCATATACATGTCTAAGCGATTAGGAAAAACACAGGCACTAATTTCCCATGCACGATGTCTTCACGCATGCATCTATTCCAAAACCTTGGACCTTTTCAAACTATTCCAAACTGCTGACATGATTCTTCATACAACTGAGGATGACATCTTATCCCTGGCCAGAGGTTCTAGTAAAACTGATCTTTTTGTAAACTCCACCTCAATTGAGTTAAACCAATACATGTCTGACTATAACACCAATCCACGAAAAACCTTCATCTGAAGCTTTGAAAAGGAGGTAAAATATTGCTCACTTTGTATTCAAATTTTCCAACAAGAAAGCCTGGCTAAAACACACAAAAGCCTAAGAAAAAAAAAAATCTCACGAACTTCTTTGTCTCCCAATTTCCGACACCATCGCACAATGTCTCACTAACTTCATTCCTTAAATATTAACTCACCTACACCTTTCTACAATTTCACTGCCCTTTGCGACCAGTAACAATCCCAGACCAAAACTTAAGGAATTAATTCTGAATCAAAACGAGAGCTGCACGGACTTTTAAACTCCCTACAGGAATCACGGAGTGAAGGCAGTACAAAACCTGGAAAAAGGAAGAAAGCGTGTTCCATCCTTTCTTCGCACATCGATCTTACAGCTCCCCACCCAGTAAGGACGCATCAGGATGCAAAGGCGGCCAGTTTTCCCCTCTTCACGCCTTACAAATACTCTCGGGACCTCCGCCCTACTTATCCTAATAGCTCCTCCCCCTCTGGAGCCGTGGCAGGCAAATAATTGCTCCTCCTTTTCCTGGCCCCCTCCCCAATTTATTCAACAGATCTCCTCCCCCAGTAGCACACCTTGGGCTGCCCAGCCCCCCTTACAATTTACTCCAAGTTACTTCTTAGCCCTGCAAGCGAAATTCCTCGGGCAGCCCCGGCCGGACCCAATCAATGTTCTCAGGTTACATTTCTAAACCCTGGGTCTCGCAGCCGTCAACCCTCCCCACGCACGTCCAAGCATCAAGGCTGCCCAGTCTGTCCCTTCTCCAACCGACTAAAGTGTTTCCTCTCCAGCCCAATCCCGCAGCTGCCCGCCCAACCCAAGCAGCATTGTCTTGGTCCACCCAGGCCCGGAAGAGCGACCCGCAAGCGCTCGGCCCACCCCGAGTCGTTTCAATGTCTTGCTGAGGATACGCCGCCCCGCCCTCTCCATCCTCCTCGCGTCGGGCGCCCGACCCCCTGCGCCTGGCGGGTTGCTCGGCTCGGGAAGGGCGCGGGACTCGGGCGCGCTCCCCGCTCCTGACCTCCGCCGCGAGCGCGCGGCCCCTCACCCAGGCTCCCGCCGCCGCCGCCGCCGCCGCCGCCGCGCGCCTCCCCCCGCTTCCCCGCCTCAAGCGGGTTCTTCACCTCAGAGCAGCGCCCAAGAGCCCGAGAGGAATCGGTGCCGCGCTAATGGCGCGTCGCGTCCGGCCGGGGGAGTGGCGCCCAGAAATGCAACAAGCCGGGTGGCCGCTGGCGAGCCCCTCACTGAAGCGGCGTACCGCAGGCCCCGGCAACAGCCCTCCCCTCTGCCGAACAAAAGAGCCTCGCACTCTACGCTGCCCGCCGCCTGCACCGCGCAGGCGCGACGACCCGCTGCACAGCACTATGGGACTCGGAGTCCGTTAGAGACTACAAGACCCGAAGTGCTGCGCGCGCCCCACGCCGCCACGCACAATTTCCAAGTGTTTCGGGGAGTTTTAGTTTTTAAACTCCTTGTGCCGGGGCGACTGTGGTTTCGAACGTTGCAACGTAGAAAGTTAGAACTTGTTTTAGAAGCGAGCCCCTTGCTGTCTGGTCCGAAAAACCAACCACTTCTCGACAGTAATTCACATTCTCGAAAGTTTTGAATCTTAACGGTTTCTCATCAAAGCTTTATCAAAACTCCAATAATCTGTGTAATCCTCAATTTCCGCCTTCTCAAATCTCTGTAAGGCTTCTACTTCTCACTGTTGAGATTACTTCCCCTTCGAGGCCTTCCCTGACCCCTTAGACTAGGTTAGGTGCCCCTGGTAAGGGTACCATCATGGCATCCTGAGCTTTCCCTTTTTCATTGGCTGCGCCAGTGGGTCGCTTTAGTGCCGGACCCCCTAATCTCTATAAGCACCCCTTACCGGCCACCCCAGAGAAACACAGGAATAGGAAAAAAAAAAACCCAAAAACCCATAAACCACAGAAGTAGACAAGTGTTCTAGTTCTGATTTCAACTAGATTGCTGTCCCCAAACCCGTTCATATGGAAAGTTGGTCTCATCATAACCGTCACCCAACTTGGTCGTCATTAATCTCTGTCTTTTCTTTTGAACTCGAAACTTAGCAAAAACTTTGCCTTATGTTGTTCACCACTCTGTAGTCAAGCAATATTTGTTGAATAAACGGTTAAGTCAATTAATGATACGTCCTTCTCCTACCTGACAGAAAATGGAGGTGATCAAGCATTCCTTCATCTCTTTTCTTCACATCAGATTTGAGGGTTTTTTTTTTTTAACTTTCTCCCTTACTCTCCTTTTCCGTATCTAATCAGGAACTAAAACAGACTTCTACCAAAAGGTGACTTTTTCTTTTTAACCTTACTTTGAATATTCAAATATCCTCCTAATCAGAGAGAAAGGAGAAAGGCAACTGGTTTTCTGCACTCCACCCCAGAAGACGGGCATCCGCAATAGTGTAACAGCTTTGCTGGGCCAGGTACTGTGCAGGGCTCTGGAGAATTGCCATGTGAGAAATGGAGCCCAGCAACACCGTAGTAGAGTTTTGCTAAAAGGGCTGTGAGAGCACAGAGAAGAGGGCAAGTCTTCCTGAGACATTCGGGTTGGGTGTCTGTGAAAAGGCAAAAATTCATTTACTCCCTCCTAAAGTGTCCTATTCTATTTTTAATGAGTTTAATGATGAGAAAACTAGTTGTAATAATATTAGCTACTGTTATTGAGTACTTACCCCAGTGCTAGGAATTTTAAGTCCTTGATTAAATGTTACTGAATCCTCACAAGAACCCTGGGAGGTGGGAATTACTATTTCCATTTTGCAGAAAAGGCTCAGAGGATGTATAACCTGCCCAATGGAATCTGGCAAGAAAGTGGTGGAATCAAGATTTGATATGATTTCTGTCTAACTCCCAAACCATATTCCTGCCTGCATAAAATGCTGCCATCCCAAGTTCCTGATACTGAGCGGAATCCTGCTTCCCCAGGTAAATGCCACCTATTTCCTCTACTTCTGGCTTCTGCAGCTGCACTCCATTATGTTCTGTAAATCTAATTCTTCTTTCATATTGTCTTTCTAGTACTGAAATTCAGCCTTCATGTTTCCTAAGGTCTCGCTGTTCTAGGCTAAATGTCACCATTTTCTTACTGTACATCATAGGACAACAGTTTCAGATCTAGCACTTTTAGTTTCTAGTAAATTCTGGCTCTTATGTGTGTAATTCAAAGTAGAGGAAGACATCACCGCCCTGGTGCTCTCCACCATTCTAGAATTAAGCAAGTCAAAGGTCACCTTCTCTTTTACATAGCAGAGCACCACTGGTTTATGCTAATCTGCAGTCAACTCAAAGCTCTCTCGTTAATAATTTATTCTGGAATTCTGCCAGGGATGGACGTGAAACTCTCAAGCCTAAAGTTTCTCACAATATCTTTTTTGGAAAGTCTTTTGGGCTTAAATAGGTTTGTCCTTTTCTCTTCCTGTAAGAATGGTGACATTTTAAGTTATTCAGACCCTCAGAGTTTCTTTTCTTTCTAAGGGTAATGACAACTCAGTCATAATGCTCTTGCTCAAGACAACATTTGAAGTGACATTGTGCTCATGCCCACAGGAAATGTGTCTGCCACATGAAGTTTCTAAAATCACAAGGAATGTGGGGAAGGGAGGAAGTGTGATCTTGCAAAAAAGAACATGCACTTGGGATTGTACTGAACTGGATTCAATTCTGTCTCTACTATTTGTCTGCTGTGAAATTTTGGACAAGCTGCTTAGCTTCTCTGAGCCTCAGCCTCCATGAAAATCTAAAACATGAAAATATTATTGAAAAGCTACCTTGCAGCATTTCTGTAGGATTAACAGAAATGTGTAAAGGGAATGGCATATAGCCGGCACTCAGTAAAAAGTAGCTATTTTAGGAAAAGTAGATAGCTGCTTCTGAGATACGATTTAAGGAGTGGGGAAAGTACAGGACTTTTTAAAGATTTTCCTTTGCACTGACTGAAATTCTGTTTCATTTTTTTCCCAACTTTTAAAATTGTTGTAAAATATATGTAACATTTACCATCTTAGCCATTTTTTTTAAGATTTTATTTTTCCTTTTTCTCCCCAAAGCCCCCCAGTACATAGTTGTATATTTTTAGTTGTGGGTCCTTCTAGTTGTGGCATGTGCGACGCTGCCTCAGCGTGGCCTGATGAGCGGTGCCATGTCCGTGCCCAGGATCCAAACCGGCAAAACCCTGGGCCCCCGAAGCGGAGCGCGCAAACCCAACCACTTGGCCACGGGGCTGGCCCCACCATCTTACCCATTTTTAAGTGTACAATTCAGTGGTATTAAAATACATTCATAATGTTGTGCAACCATCACCACCATTCATTACCATAACTCTTTTCATCTTGTAAAACTGAAATTCTATCCCCAATAAACAATAACTCCCCATTCCTCCCTCCCCGCAACCCCTGGCAACCACCATTCTACTTTCTGTCTCTATGATTTTGGCTACTCTAAGTAGCTCATATAAATGGAATCATACAATCTTTGTCTTTTTGTGACTGGCTTATTTCATTTAGCATAATGTTCTGAAGCATCATATGGACATATGTTGTAGCATATGTCAAAATTTCCTTCCGTTTTAAGGCTGAAGAATATCCAGTTATGTGTACATATCACATTTTGCTTATCCATTCATCTGTTGTTGGACACTGGGGTTGATTCCATGTTTTAGTTATTGTGAATAATGCTGTTATGAACATGAGTGTACAAATCTCTCTTCAAGATCCTGCTTTCAATTCTTTTGTTTATATACCCAGAAGTGGAATTGCTGGATAATACGGTAATTCTATTTTTAATTTTTTGAAGAACTGCCATACTCTTTTCCACACTGGCTGTACCATTTTACATTCCCACCCACAGTGCCCAAATGTTCCAGTTTCTCCACACCCTCACAATGCTTGCTGTTTTCTACTTTTTTTTTGATAGCAGTCATCCTAATGTGTGTGAGATTCTTTGTTTCATTTTGACTACTACTTGAAATTCTCTTGTGAAAGATTTATTCATTTGGAGTTAACAAGCTCTCTCTTTTAAAAGGCAAATATACTTAAGAGCTATCTCTCTCTTACCCCTCCAGGTCAGTCGGATTCTCACGTGACTTCCTGGCAGTAACTGGATTCCAATTAAAATCTACTCTTCTCAAATCCTGCACCCACAGCCTTGACACGGACTGGTTTTCTCAAGTGAAGGGATCACTGCTTGGAGAGGTCCCTATGTCATTTGCCAGTATTTCTTCAGGTATGATAAGGATCGGCCCCATTATCATGGGTTAGAAATTATCATTGAAAAAATAAGCTAGAGATAGGACAGCTATTTGTGAAACCTATGTGACATTCAAATTATTTAATGAATTTATTTAAAAACATTATTGAGTAATATGTGGGGTGATAATGCCAAGCTCTTATATTCTCTAGAATATAAGCTCCAGGGTATTTTCCTGTTTGGCTAACTGTGTTATTTTTAATGTCTAAAACGGTGTCCAGCCCATAGAAAGGGTTCAATACATATTTGTTAAATGCATGGATACATTCTGCAGATACGCTCTGTGGTTCTCCAAGTGTAGTCCACAGACTCTGGGACTGTCTGAGATGTTTTCAAGGAGTCTGAATAGTCGAAACTATTTTCATAATAATATTAAGACATTATTTGCTCTTTTTTCACTGTGTTGACATTCTCACTGTGTTGACATTCTCACTGATAGTGCAAAAGCAATAGTGGGTGAAGCTGCTGGCACCTTAGCATGAATCAAGGCAGGGTGGAACAAACTTCTACTAGAGTCATTGTGTTCTTCATGGCCACACCTATGCAAAAAAAGAATTAAGAAGCCATTTTCACTTAAGAGTATCCTTGATGAAGTAGTACAGATTATTAATTTCATGAAATCTCTCTCCCAGTGTATATGTCTTTTTAATGTTCTGTGTGATGAAATGGGAGATGTACATAAAACACTTCTGCTTACTGAAGTATACAGTTGAGCGATTGTTTCGGATGTGTGAACTGAACTAACTGCTTTTTTCCATAGAACACTGTTTTTATTTGAAAGAATGACTGACAGAAAGACTATGGTTATTCAGACGTGGATATTTGAATGAATTGAGCCTGCCACTTCAAGGAAAAATGACAGGAAGTATTTTTGCCAATGATACAAAAATTTGAACTTTGAAGCAAAAATGATAATTTTAGAAAATGTAGTATCCACTACAGTGAGCTTGACTGTTTCCCAAGATTTTCTTGATGAGATGAGAAATAATATATATTATATATATTTTTGAGGAAGATTAGCTCTGAGCTAACACCTGCTGTCAATCCTCCTCTTTTTTGCTGAGGAAGATTGGCTCTGAGCTAACATCCGTGCCCACCTTCCTCTACTTTATACATGGGATGCTTATCATAGCATGGCTTACCAAGCAGTACATAGGTCAGTACCCCAGATCCAAACTGGCAAACCCTGGGCCACCGAAGTGGAAGGTGCAAACTTAATCACTGTGCCACTGGGTCGGCCCCTAGAGCTTAGAAATAATTTTAATAAATGTGATTTTTTATGAATAATGAAATGCATCAATATTTGGAAGATCTGCATAACTCAGTAAACCAATATTTTCCAAATGGTTTCAGATTCCTCACTGCAACTAACCTTTAAGCAATTACCATTTGTTGAGTTTTGCGGGTATCGAAGAAGAGTATCTACAGCTACTGGAGAAGGCTAAAAACACTCCTTCCTTTTCCAACTATATATCTGTGTGAGCTTGGATTGTCTTCATTTCCTATGCCAAAATAACACAGCACAACAGAGAGAATGGTGTCAGGGTGGAAAAATGTTCTTTCTACCCTTCTAGATTCTTTGGCTGGTCTAATAATTAAATTGACATAAGATAGATTAACAGGAGAAAAACAAATTTAGTTTTGTATGTATGGGAGCCCCATAAAAATATGAGACCCAAAGGCAGTCAGGCAACTGAGGGTTAGATGCCATCCTAAGCTAAGAAATAGGATAGGGGCCTGGAGCTTCAAAGGGGAGGAGGGAAATACACAGGAAGATAAGAGCAGATATTTGCCCTGCCATGCCAGTAAGTCTTTCACATAAAAAGTTATCTCTGGTAATAGCTCTCTCTTTGGGCCAGACCCCCTACCTAAATTCTTTTAGGCAGTTAAGGGAGAAGTCAAAATTTTTCTTGAGTTCGCTGGGTCTTGATTACCTTCAGCTCAAAATAATCCACATGCCAAAGTGGCACATTTTGGCGTGGTATATTCTGCTCCCTTTCAATGGGGGAAGCAAATATGAGAATCCAACTGTCTTTTAGCAAGCCGAACATTAAAGATATTCGCAAAATTGTAATACAATGCCACTCTATTTTTTTTTTGTTTTGTAAAGTGTAGTTATATTTCATAAAATATTAAGTTAACATGTAATGGTTTATTGTTATTGCTTTCAGGTTAAGTAATACATACATGTTTTAAAATTTCTCAATTTTAATTTCTAATTCAGTGAATATCCCACAAAAACAGAAGCTCTTTGGGGTCCTTAAGCATTTTTAAGAATGTAAAGGGGTGCTGAGACCAAGTTTGAGAAAAAGCTGCTTAGAGGTATGAGTAATAATCTCCTCTTTACAGATGAGGCAACTAAGGCTTACCAGATTTAGGACCACGCGGTCAGTGCTGTGCTTGCTCGGTATGGTACAAAGGTCGTCTAACTCCAGCGCTTGTATCTGTGACCATAACTTTTGCACAGTTATTATCTTTCCTAAAATTATCTTTAAACAGGTTGTTAAAAGGCATTTCAGTAACATGAAAACAAAGGCATCATCATATTCAGCGGATTTTTCTTTCTTACTAACTAGCTGCACGATCTTTTTCGGGCTCGTTTCGGCGAATGAAACGGGCGTTGCCGCACGCTCTCAGTTCGGTTTTCGCTCTGACCATCTGTGGTTTGAGGAACCTGAGTCGGAGTCCCCTTGATAACTCCGCTGGGGAACTGCAACCTCCAGGGTTCAAATGAGGACTCTCTCCGGACTCAGCGAGGCTCCAGGAATGTGGGCGTTTCTCCCCCGGCCCTCCCACACTCAAGACCGCCCTCTGCAGAACGAAAACACCCGCGACAACCTCCTCACACCCCTCAGCTCCCGGGACCCGCTGTCAGACAGTCGCTGACGCTCCCTGGCCGCTGATTGGCTGGGCCTGACAACGATGGGCGGGACGCGGCCCTGGATTGGACGTCAGAGCCCATGCGCTGGCCCTCACCCCGTGCACCTTTCAGCGCCCACGTGAGTCCTGCGGGAGCCCGACTCTAGCCGAGGCCTGGGCGGGGCCGAGCGTGCCGCCCCGGGAGCGGGACTCGCCAGTGAGAGTCGGGGCCTGCAGGGGCGGGGCGTCCTGGGCGCCTGGGATTGGCGTGTCGGGAGCCGTCTCCCGTCGTGCACCGGGGCGCCGGCGACTCACCCGGAAGGAGAAGCCGAGACTGTGGCTGTATGTTGGGGCGCTGGCGGTGTGGCTGTGGGGAGTGGCTGCCGCTCTCAGGTGAGGGGGCGTGGGCGCTGCTCTCAGGTGAGGGCCGCCGGCTTGAGCATCTGTAGTGGCGCTTGGAGTGGGACCGTCGCTTGACATCCTAGGGAAGGGGTAGTCTCACCTCCGGGGGTGAAGGCAGGTGCTTGCTCGGGATCCAAGGAAGGAAACTTGGCTTTTCTACTAACTTTTAAAGTATATAGCGCTTTTTTTTCCCAAGCTTAATAGGCAAAGGAGAAGAGGGACCATGTGGCCCTTTTGCTCCTGGTTCGTTAAGATTGGAGGGGGAGTGGCCGGCGTAAAAGAGTTGGGGAACAGTTACCCAAACGGCTAGGACTAGGGGTAATGGCCAGTATTTTACGGGGACACAGGAGGCTCTTATGGTTGATTGTGGTCGCCTTTGTGACTTAACTTCCAAGCGAAAGGAGGGCAGGTTACAGAGGGACAGAAGGATAGAGCAGGACTGCTTTGTTGAGACCACAGAGCTTAGCTAGACGGGGGGCTTACTTCACCACCTGTGAGTGTTTAGGGAGGAGGGCTTTTTGAGTTGCCGTCTGGCACCAGGGCTCAAGAGTGAGTTAGAAGGAATGGGAGTCTCAGTGGCTCGATATACTTTTATCATTTGATTTATTTTTTAACCTGTCTCTTGAGGTTGTTTGTTTATTTATTTTGGTGAGGAAGATTGGCCCTGAGCGAACATCTTTTGCCACTCTTCCTCTTTGGCTTTTTTTTTGTTTTTATTTTTTTAGTGAGGAAGATTCACCCTGAGCTGACATCCGTGCCAATCTTCCTTTATTTTGTATGTGGGATGCCTCCACAGCAAGGCTGATGAGCGGAGTAGGTCCACGCCTGGGGTCCGAAGAGGAACCTTTAGCAGGTTGCGTGGAACTTTAACCACTCCGTCATGGGCCAGCCCCTTCTCTTTTGCTTGAAGAAGATTGTCCCTGAGCGAACATCTGTGCCAGTCTTCCTCTGTTTGGTATGTAGGACGCTGCCACGGCATGGCTTGATGAGCAGTGTGTAGGTCCTTACCAGGGATTCAAACCCATGAACCCTGGGCAACCGAAGCGGAATGCGAACTTAACCACTACACCCTCTGGCCGGCCCCTTGAAGTAGTTTAAATGGGTGTGAAAATGGTGGGGTAAAGCCTTGAATTGCTACCTTGAATTGTAATGACATTGGGAAACTTGACAAGGAAGCTGCTTTGTAAACAGCAAACAACTGGGTTCTCCACGGGGCTGTTGGTGCTGGTGCAGGTGGAAAAAGTAAAGGAAACTTCAGATGCGATTGAAGGGGCCTGGGAAATGTGGCTAGCTCTTAGTGAGTTGTATAAATAGCTGAGAGGCTCACTGACTCTATCCTTATTTGGGTGACATAGAGATCTATCTCCCAGATTATGGAACTAACGTTAAGAACTTCCTCCTTTCCCTCCAAGGGCAGAACTGAACTTCATTTCCGTCTGAGGAGTGGCATCTGTGGGTAGGAAGCTGATGGAGAATAGTAGTTGCTAGAAATTATTACTTGGAGTCTGGGTTTCTGTATTTGTTCCAGTGTTTTTAAGGAAAGTTACAATTGGAACTTCCTTAGTCCCCTTTGAACTTAGATTTAAGTATACAGCATCTTGGGGGTCCTAGGATTGTTTCTAAGTAGTATTAGCCCCAAAGGAAAAGAGAGGAACTTGGCTAGGAGGTAGTGCAGAGCCCTAGGCAATTCTTCTTGACCCCGAGAATGATGACCATTTAGTTACTAAATTATGATGCTGAATTTGGCAAACTTTTCTAGGCCCAGGAGATGCGTGAGCTCCGCTGAATGTGTGGATAACTGTGATTCCTTGTCATCATCTTTCCTAATGTTACTTTTGTGAAAAGACACTTCAGAATATTTAACTCTCTGCTCCTGTGCTGGCAATTTCCCAAATGCCTGAAAAGAGAAGAGGAATTTTTTTTTTAAAGATTGGCACCTGAGCTAACATCTGTTGCCAATCTTTTTTTTTTCTCCCCCCTTCTTCTCCCTAAAGCCCCCCCAGTACATAGTTGTATATTCTAGTTGTAGGTCCTTCTGGCTGTACTATCAGCATGGCCTGATGAGCGGTACCATGTCCACGCCCAGGATCTGAACGGGGGAAACCCTGGGCCACCGAAGCGGAGCACGTGAGGTTGACTACTCAGCCGTGGGGCCGGCCCTGAAAAGAAAATTTTTTTTAATCTGAGGAGGTTAATTGTTCACAGCGAGTCGGCCTGTTTCTTTCGGTCACAGCCGTTTGACTGCTTACCTCCAGGATGTTATACGTCACTTGTTATGGAATTGGCATTTCCTACCTTTCAGTTCAGGACCCCTTTGCGATGGTGACTGCATCAGATGAAAAATCAGATTGTCAGCAAGAACACTGTTTAAGATGGTATTGCAATCACAAAACCTCCGGTTCGCTTGACGGTATAGCCCAATTTTGTCATAGACCATGCTGCTTTGTCTCTGCATGCAGTGTCTATGTGTAGAGAGACCTTCTGGTGTACTGGAAAGAATTGGAAAAGCTGTTTGCTCTGCTAATTTTGTGGTATAAATGAGTTCCCCTTCTTTTGAAACATTAGCCTTGTGTTAGCAAAACATAAAATGGAAGGAAACTCATTACACACTCTTCTAATGGTAAGGCAGAACTAATAAGAGAATGTGTTTAAAATTAATTGTGGGACTGTAAAAATGAGTGGGTGTGTGAATGGGCATGGGGGGAGGCGAAGGAGAGCATAGAGATAGTCTCATTTTCCCAGGAGCCAGCCCGAATCATTTGTTGGCAGTACATATTGGCTGAAGTCAGTTTTCATTTCAAGGTAAATTGGAAAGGGAAATTAAACCTTATTGTTTCTCTCTTAAGAGAGGAGAAGGGGGTGGAGGCGGCAGCCAGGGTGGATGCTGTTGGAGTGGTTCTAGGAGGAACAAGATTAGTGCTGTATTTTAACAGAAGGTGACATCATGGGCCCCTTTGGACTTGAGTAACCCTGTGCTGCAGCCTTCATGGTCCCCTTGTCAGAGTGGGCGATGTCGCTGCACATGTAAACTGCCACACTGGGGGAAATCAGAGGCTTGGGCTTTAATGAATCTTTATAAAGGAGCAGAAAACATCCTGAGTCGACCTGCGCAGCTGTGGGCTGCTTGGGCAGAGGTACAAACCGGATGGCATGTTGAGAGAGGAAATAATTAGAACCATCGGCTAGGGTTCCGGAGAATGGGTTAGATAAGGCAAGGTCGAAACTGTGCAGCCCACTCAGGTGCTCCCAGAGCTCTCCAGCTCTGTGATTTACCTCTGGGGAGGTGACTGTTGTTAGCAAGACAAAGAGAGACTTGGGAGCACTGGTGTTCATGGAGGCTTGGTTGTACTTAAACAGCCAGGAGGGGGCGATGTTAGGCTCACTTGCAAAGCTGTGCTGTGTGTCCACAAGACACTCCTTTGCCTGCTGTCCTCAGACTGAAAGGTTTTACAGCCCAACCTGCCGGTTCTGGCTGCCTGAGGTGAACACTGTGCAGACCCGACATACTTTGGCTAGAGGTAGCCTAGGTAGGGGTCCCGACCGTGGGCTGAGAGGGGAGGTAAATCCCCCAGGGCTTTTAGCTTAGCCCTGAGCTAATGTAAGGGAGGTTTCTTTTTTACTTCCTCTTAAGTTTTACAAAAGAATAAAAAAAGTTACCTGGGATTCCCTGGGGGTCGATTAAAATTTTTCAGGGTTTTTCCCTGGTAAGGACTGATAAGAATAAAAGCATACTCACCATGATTGTTCCTGTGTCTTCTGTCTCTTGTCAGATGCTTTCTTCCAATGGGCTTTTGGTGTAAGATGTTGGAGAACCAAGAGCAGGAGGTAAGCGTGTGGTCTCCAGGGAACAGGTAGGTAAAGGCTGAGGGGACTTGGGAGAAGATGCAAGTCATTGCTCGGTGGTGGTCTTCTGACAGTAATACCTTGATTCTGATGAGCTCAAAATAAAGCCGGAAGGAAATCGGTAGTAAAGGCCTTACTGGAAAATGAGGTTCCATTTTGATTAACTTTTCCATTCATTGGAAAGTAGTAGAAAGAAAGCTTCATGAAGGCCAGGATTTTTGTCTCTTGTTCCTGTCCTACTCCTAGCGCCTTAGAACAATGCCTGACGCACAGTGAGTGGTCACATAAATATTTGTTGAAGTGAATGAATAAATGAACAAATGAAGGAAAGTTGATGCTGTCTGAGTGGAAAAATCTGGCAACCTGTGTTGTCAAAAGTGCCTTGCTATGTGGCTGAGCTGAGGCTAAAGGAGCATTTCTTACCTTCAGGAGGTGATCACTGTGCGAGTTCAGGACCCCCGTGTGCAGAATGAGGGCTCTTGGAATTCTTATGTGGATTATAAGATATTCCTCCATGTAAGTGCATCCGACTTCTCTGCTGGTCAACACTCGCCAGGGCTGAGGGCCAGTGGTGAGGTGGGTCCTGTTTGTGGGTGTCTTTGACAGGTCCGAGACAGAAGAGGAGGGAGGGAGGAGAGGAAGGCGGGCTTTGGGTGTGCCCGAGAGCTGCTTTCAGGCTGCCTGGTGGCACCTTGCTCTAGTTGGAGCCCCTGATCAGGACTGTGGCCTGGTGGCTTGGATCTTCAGTGAGAGTGACGATGGGGAGTTCACGTCAACTTGGTTTTCCCCCCAAACCCTTTTCATTTACTTCCTCCTGTAGACCAACAGCAAGGCCTTTACTGCCAAGACGTCCTGTGTGCGTCGCCGCTACCGTGAGTTCGTGTGGCTGAGAAAGCAGTTACAGAGAAACGCGGGTTTAGTGTGAGTTTCCTCATGCTTTCTTCCTGCGTTCTAGACGGGCTTTTGGGGCACCTCTTTGGGAACTGGAGTTTACAATGAAGAAAACTTGGCAATCTGCAAGGCACTAAGGAAATTGTGTGTTCTTAAATTATGTTTTCAAGTCAGTGAAAAAAGTAAAGACACAGTTCTTATTTCTAGTATTTTGACCTAACAAAGCTATACAAATATCAAAAATATTTTGTTTTTTATGTGCGTATTTGTCTACAGCTAAACAAATACATGGCTAGCATTTTAAATATGCTTATCACTGGTTATCAGAAACTTTTTAGCACCTGGACTGATTTACCAGATGTTTCTGTCCATTTGACATGTAAAAGTTGTGATTTTCTTTTTTTGGTGTGGAGCCCCTTTTCCAAAGACATAACAGACTGAGACCTTTAGGAAAAGCAGCATTGTTCCACACCTGCACTCCACAAATAAGTCCTAGAACTGGAGACAATTTAGAGCAATGATTCCACCACAGGATGGTCACTGAAGCCCTGGTGATGGCTGGCCTGTTGATGACCTAGCCAGTTAGGTAGCATGTGGGACTGATGGGGCTGGTGTCGTGGGTCAGACCCTCAGAAGCCAGTGGGCCTTGCTCTGACAGGTCCTGCATCTTCTAGCCTGGCCTGTTTTTACAAGTATGCGCTGTGCTTCATAAGAGAAGTTAGGGAGTTTGAAAGAGTTTGTGGATGACTGCAACTCAGCTACTTTTAGAAAATTCCAAGCATATGACCTTCTGGCACTGGAGTAAGCAGTCTTAATTTACACACAAGGACTCAGCATTTTCCATGTCTCCAAGTACAAGTTTCTTCCTTTTTAAAATAATAGTTGATGGTGGGAGTGGGTTTTGTAAGCAATGTAGTATAGCAGCATGGAGTTTTGAAGTCGTAGACTTGGTTCAAATACCAGCTCTGCTGCTTACTAGCTGTGTGACAGTGGGATATTTACTTAACTTCTCTGATTCCATTTCCTTACTGCTAAAGTAGGAACACTAATATCTTTCTCACAGCGTTTTGGGGAGGATCAAGTGAAATAAAGTTCATAAAATATTTAGCACAGTGATTGACACACGGGATGCAGTCAGTCAATGTTAAGCCCCCCCCCTTATTAAAAGCTGTTTGTATTGATTTGTGCATCTTTTTAGGGGATTTCCTTGATCAGGGGCTGGGGTGAATGTCTTAGATGTTACATTTATCTTGGATGTTACATTATGTGAACCCACCCAACAGGCCTGTACCTGAACTTCCTGGGAAGTCAGCCTTCTTTGGCAACTCAGATGAGTTCATTGAGAAGCGAAGACAAGGGCTGCAGCACTTCCTTGAAAAGTGAGTGGACGTAGTGGGCTAGCACTTGCCGCCTGGGGTGGGGGCACAGAGGGGGAAGGTGCCAGGCAAGATGGCCCCTTTGAACATACAGGCGCATTTGTGGTCGATGCCTTTCTCACACCCTCCTGCCTTGAGCGCTCCCTCAGGCCAGCAACCATTCAGAGGATGGGGCTAGGGAGAGCAACTCCTCAGGTGATGCTCTGTGTTGTGCTACCTGTGTTTGCCCCAGGGTCCTGCAGAGTGTGGTCCTCCTGTCAGACAGCCAGTTACACCTCTTCCTGCAAAGCCAGCTCTCAGTGCCTGAGATAGAAGCCTGTGTCCAGGGCCGAAGCCCCATGACCGTTTCCGATGCCATTCTTCGCTATGCTATGTCAAACTGTGGCTGGGTCCAGGAAGAGAGGCAGGGGTCTGCTCACCTGGCTAAGGGAGACCAGCCTAAGAGGTAACTGAAGCTCTCTGTTTTGAGACACTGGGGGCTAGGATTACTGTAACCTGGGTCAGCGTGGTGTTCATTTGATAGAGAAAGTAATGTCGCAGCATTGGTAGCTTTTCAGAAGAGGCCTCGTTCTCCTGTGCATGGTTCTCTCATCCCATGCATGAGGGTCTGTAGGTCTGTATTAACCATCCCTGGGCAGCAGGCGCTCCTGTTGAGACCTGGGGAGAAAGAAAAGAAGGCTTTCTTGTTTATTCTGTTCCTTATTCCTCTCACCCCCATTTTTTTAAATAACTTTATTGAGATATAATTCATAGACCATAAAATTCAGTCTTTTAGTGTACAATTTAGTAGCTTTAGTTTATTCACAAAGTTGTGCAATCATCAGTCACCACAGTCGATTTTAGAACATTTTCATCACCCCAAAAGAAACTTTGTACCCATTAGCAGTGACTCCCCATTTTCCCCAACCCCTAGCTCCTGGTAACCGCTAATCTACATTCCGTGTCTATGGATTTGCCTATTCTGGACGTTTCACAGAAATGGAATCATACAATATGTGGTCTTTTGTGACTGGCTTCTTTCACTTAGCGTGTTTTCAAGGTTCATCCACGTTGTCGTGTGTATCAGTACTTAATTCCTTTTTATGGCTGAATACTATTCCATTAGTGTAGATGTTCCACGTTTTGTTTGTTTGTTCACCCATGTTTATCCATTCACTTTTGTTTATCTGTTCATGCCCTTCTTTTCCCTTTCCTACTCTTTTCCAGTTGCTGCTTTCTTCCAAGATCAGGCAGGAGGAGCTCTCCTTCGCCACCTCCTGGGGAAGAAAAGGACCATTTTGAGGTGTGGGCTCCTGTTGTTGACTCTGAGGCTCCTTGCTTGGAAAGCCCCCCTCTCGCACCCTCCTCCTCACCATCATGCTGTGGTCTTGCAAGACCTGATGAGGGACTCTCTGCTCCTCAGCCTGTGAGGAGGGCCGTGGGAGGGGACCATGCTGTGCCTTTGGACCCTGGTCAGTTAGAAGCAGTTTTGGAAAAGTGAGCTCTGGGTTCTGCTCCGAGGTGGACAGAGAAGATGCAGGCACGGAGACTTGCTCGGGTGGGATCGGGCACAGGACAGGTGTCGGAGGCTGGGCCGCTTAGTGTCTTACAGTTGCGTCTGCTCAGGTTGGTTGCACAGAGGTCGGTCACGACAACTCCTCAAGCTTCCTCCATAGGAATAAACACTGTGCAGATGTTTGTAAGTTAAGCATAAGGCCCAGGGGCTGTTGGTTTTGAATAGAACCTCATATTTACTTTCCCTGGACCTGAGTTTCTTTAGATGTTTCTTAATGGGCCCAGGAGCACTGCCTCAGGTGACTGGTTTTGGGGACCTGTAAGTGGCCGATTTTAAGCTGCTGTATCGAATGTTGTTGCAACAGAAATGCTTGTGCAGCTGTAGTTCCTCTGGCTCTGATTCTGCTGCAGCCCCTGGAGCGCTCTGTTTCTGGGAGGCTGGCCTCTTGCCTGCCTCCTTGCATGGCCGGGCTGCTGAACGTTTCTTCTCCCACCTCCTTGTTTCTCCTCCACTCATGCCACTGAATGGAATGGTGCTGTGACTCCTGTCGCTGGGCTTTCCTGTGTATCCCGAGACCTCAGCCTGGCTGTGTGGGGCCTGAGACCCATGAAATAGCTCATGGCCATCCATGAAAGAGAAGGGGTTGGTCATGGCCAGAGGAAAGGCAACAGCTCAGGGGCTTTGTTTTGGAAAAAGACTGTCCTGGGCTATCATTCTCTCTTCTAGTTATAAAGCAGAGACGTGACTGTCTTTTTGGCTGGGTTAGTGTGGGCTCCTTTCTTTTTTGAATCCTTTTCTTCTCCCTTAGTAAGAGCTCCCTGTCCCCAGGGCTTCAGCCCCTAGAGTGGTCCTCTGCTGCCTTGCAGGGAGGCGGTATGTTCAGTCCATTGGGGTGCAAGGGCTTTGTTTCTGCCTGGAGAGAGGGCTCTGGGGATGGAGATGAGGACAGCACGACTTCCTTCAGACAATGAGGCATTCTGCCCTCCTGCTGCCGTAACTCCTCTCCACTGAGAGCCAGAGCTGGTAGGAGACGAGTGCCACTGGCATTCTGCGTTGCTCGGCACTTAGGTTTGTGTGTGTGGTTCTTCTCCTTCTCGCCCACTCCCCCCTCCTCTGGCCATCCCACCCCGTCTGTGGGCTCTTCTACTACCAGCCTATGCTGTGGGACTGTCATGGCATTTAGTTCAGAGTTGAGGGGCTTTGGCCTGAAATAAAATTCAAGTATTTAAGACTGTTGTTGCAATTTGTGTCTAACAAGCTGTAGCAGAGAAGGAGGGAGTGAGGGCTGGCAGTAGTTACTTTCATAAATCATGAATTTATCAGCGTGGAAATAATGGTTCAGGACTGTGCACTGCAGCTCTCCTGCATTGTGTGTGCAGCTCAGGTTCACCACTGGAGGAAGGATTGTCTTCCGAAGAGCCAGGATCCAGCTCTTCTCCCAGTTACGGGCGTGAACCTTGTTAGGTATAATTTACCTGATGCTGCTTCCCTGCTCACAGCCTGTCTGAGGTGCCAGGTGCTGAAAGAGAAATAAAGTTTGTCAACAGGCAGATGCAGAGCCCTGGCTGGGACTCATGCCTCTTCCCTGCCCGCCTCCCCTGGGTCTCTCCTTTATATGATGCAGCAGAGCACGGCGAGGATAGAAAACCTACAGAGGCAAATCCAAAATGTCAGAAGAAGTTCATTTAAAAGGGAAAAAAAACTCCATACACAACCCTCACAAAAACCCGACAGATGCTAAGCTAATGGCATCCGCTCTGCCGATTGGTGGGGATGACTCATGAATATTAATGAGTCCAATGCTCCAAATGGTGCAGCTGTGAACCCAGCTGTGCCTGAAGCTCTCTGATCTCGAAACTTCCAGACAGGAGCCGGAGGTGGTCTGTGTCAATTCCCTACTCAGCCAAAAAAACAGCAAGCTGGGTTGGCCTTCTTGTGTTCGCTCCTTTTCTTCCTGGAGCTGGTGCTCAGCAGCGAGTTCTGCCAGCAGGGTAGGCTGCTGGGGCAGCAGGAGCCGTTCAGACACGGATGCGATTTTTCTGACTCTCGGCTTTTTAAATGATCCATTAACAGCAGTGCATACAAAAGCACCTCAGTTAATCTCAGGCCAGGCACCATCCCCTCACTGTCTTGTGCAGAGCTAAGTGTAGGCCACGGAAGGAGATGTCCTAAGAAGGGAAGAGTTATCTAATAATACGGGCCTGGAGTTACCAGAAAAACAGCAAGGATGGATTTTACTCCCCATCCAGGCAATGCCATTAGCCTCTCGTGCTTTGCTCTGTCCCTGTGTGTACTAGGGCCTGGCCACCATGGCTGATGACCTCCAGGTGGAAGATGGGAAGCTACTGGGGGAGGCGGCCTACTGGCTTTTCTGTTAGAATTTAGGTTCGAGGTAGGTTCTGTGCCTGGGTTAGTCCCCTTTCTTCTGACGGCTACGTCCATGGCCCAAGTCTAGTCCTCTCCTGTTACCCAGGAGAAGTAATCCCAAGCCCATGGGTTTCGCTTTTGTTTGGTGGAAGGAAGTATATGTGTGTGTTTATGATAAGAAATTTTGGGGAGGAGATGGGGTATTTTCTCGTAGGGAAATAGTTTCATACGCATCATTTTATTTGACCTCAGTGTCCAGTGAGGAGGGCAGGGCAAGTGTTGCACTCATTTTCGAGCTGAGGAAACTGAGCTGAGCGTGGTTTTTAAAAAGCATGTTTTTAGGTGGTGGTACAATCTGCTCATGTGAGAGGTACTTTCTAAGCTCAGTAAGACAAGAATTTTTCCTCCCCCTCCAACTTTTTTTAAAAAGCTAAAATAAACCCACTACTACTCAAGGAAAAAAATTCCCCTGCAGAGCTTTTCAGTTGTTCTCAGAAGTCAGAGCTCCTCCACAGTCCTCAGTTTGCTGACTGCTGAGGCCTTAGATCCACACAACTGAGTCCTGGGCACCTCCTGCCCTCTCTGGGAGCTTTGCTCGGGAGGTGATCATGACTTTTGAACACTCTGAGTGGACATTAAGTTAGCTCCATGTTTGTGAATTTGTTTATTGCCTCGGCTCTTGCTGAATAGTCTTAACACCCTTTGGTTGGGGAGGACAGTGCGCCGGAAGGGTGTGAGGTGGGGTTGGAGGTAGAAATGGAAACAGCCCAGCTCCTGGTCCGCCTCATGGAGGCTGTGGGGGCATTCATTCAGGGCCTGGATGGCATCTGCGGATTTATGTGTGAGACGCAGCTAAAGCCAAGCAGATAACCACTGCAGCGGAGATAGTGACTTCCTCTGTCAAGCCGGGCACTGATCCTCAGCCACCCGTGGTGGGGGGGGTGGGGGGCTCTGATAGCAGAGACTCTGCTCTGTAGCGGGCACGTCGCCTAGCTCAAGGTAACCTTTCTTTGAGTTGTGGATGAGCTTCCCCTTTCTTGTTCTCCTTACCACTGCACCTTCTTCCCTGAGGGTTTCCTAACCCGCTTTGGAAGCCCACCTCTTATCTCTTATCTCTTCCTTCCTTCCCCACTTCTGCTCTTATCTCTAAGGGAACTGCTACAAAGACCAAGTATGCATTTGGTTTACCAACAGGCCAGTCCTAGCATTTTATTAGAGAAATAACATCTTGGGGAAAACCAGTTCCACCTTAATGGCTGGAATGCATTTGGAGCTGGAAAGCTAGAAACTCAAATCTCAGGATAGAATAAACATGGACAATTTATGCTCAGAAGGATAGCAAGAGCCACACCTTTCAGGAGACAGAGTGCTGCTGACTCTGAGCACAGTGAATGATTTTACTTCCCTTCCGCTCAGGGGAGACCTGGTCCACTTCCGCACGCAAAGGAGGAAAAAAGAGGGGTACTTCCATAGCAGTGAAAGGGGCATGAATAATAAGGAGGGATGGGAGAGCTCGAGGGTGAGAATTCAGACTATCTGAAAGTGTAAGGTTTTTCTCCTGGAAGGGCAGGGACATGAGATGTGTCGGTAATCTGTGGGTTATGGGAAGCCGCCAGCCCAAATTTCTTCTCTGTGGCTGTCAAGTCCCTCCTTGCCGTCCTTCAGGCAAGCACTTCTTCCTTCATACCATCCGTTTGGAAGAGCCAGCTGGTTTGGATTCTTCCATAGGTGCTCTAGCCCTGTGTGTGTCCCCTCCCCTGGTGGCCAGGTTGGCGTGGGAAGCCAGGCCCCAGCAGCCTGACCTGAATCCCTCCAGCAGAAGGCCCAGAATAGTGAGGGCCTGAGGTGGTTTGTCGGAGGCAATGCAACCTGCCTGCTGTAAGCTACGAGACTTAGATATATTCTACCAATTAGGGCACATCTGTTCAAAACGCTGAAAGGCGGGCACTGTCTCTTTAAGAGCCATCCCACTCCTCTCCTTGAGTGATGAGGGCTGGGAGCACAAGGGAGTCAGATGCTGATTAAACAGTCCTACTGCTGAGCTCTGTTAGAAAATTACTGTAATTATGATCTAGTCCCAGCAGAGGGATGAGTTCCAATCCTGCTAATAACCCTTCCAGGTGCCTCGGATTCAGGGCCCAGGGGAGGCAGCATTGACAGGCTCTGGCTGGCACGAGGGCAGCGATGGCCCTTCTGTCTGGCCTGTGCAGGCGGCAGCAACAAAGGCAGTGGACCCTCATCCTATCCTGGCCTCCTGGGAAGGCACTGAGTTTTGGTTGTGTTTTGTTTTATAATTTTGGTTCTTGACAGAGCTCTTGGGAGTCATTTTGCATGAGAAAACTTTCCCCTAAACTAACATGAAGGACCAGGAAAATCACAGCCGCAAGATGACAATCTGTCCCGACTCTCCCCGCTTCTGTCTGGGGACTGCAGTCAGCGCTGCCCCAGCCCTGCTCAGTGCAAAGCGGAGGGAACCCGCGCAGTCCGCTGGGCTGCCGCTGTCTTCTGTGTCGTTCCTATGACCTGTGTGTCTTGCTCTGAACACACAGCGTTTCACTTGGTCCTGATCAAGAGTTTCAGGGCTCCCCTTATAGATTTCTGTCACAGAAAAGGGAAATAAGACTAGTAACCACAGAGCTCTAGGCATGAGAGACTCACTCTAAGCAGCTCTCTGAATCGGCAAGTATGGGCCTATTCATTTGGGAACATTTCTGTAGTGAAGTCTGCGGCAGTGCAGGCGAGCGGGTCTCAGAGGTGCTCGTGCTTGTGGAGCGCAGGGGCTGGCTTGCTGGTTCTTAGACCCTGAGGAATTCACGGCATTTATTCTCTCTGCCGAACCTAGTTGTAAACTTCTCCGTATCACTAAGCACAGACTTCTAGAAGGCAGGGCACTTTCTCTCTGCTTGGCCCTAAGCACACCCAAATGCCCTGACACAGTGGTTCTCGACCAGAGGTGCTTTCCCAGGGGACATTTGGCAATGTCTGGAGTCATTTTTGGTGGCCAGAACTGGGGGGAGTGGTACTAGCATCTAGTGGTAGGGACCAGTGATCTTGCTGAACAATGCCCCAGCAACATAAAATTTTCTGGCCCACAGTGTCAGTAGTGCCAGGTTGAGAAACCCTGCACTAACAGAATGAAGTAATAAGCTCCAAGTTCTGCCCCCTAAACTTCTACTGCATTACCTTGGAGATGGTGAAGAAATGATCTCAAATCTCCAGATGCCAGGCGCTATCCCAGAGGTGGAATATGTTAGTGACAGGCCTGGCAGGGTCCCCCTGGGAGGCATCGGGAAATGTAGGTGGTGCCACCTTGATGGTTCCAGGCAGAGCAATGCCAGAGTGTCTGACCGTGGGTAAAACGGAAGTGTTTGCAGCCTGTTTTCTGTTCCACGATGGGATGTGTGGGGATGAAAGGTGGCCGGCCAGCTGCTCACCATCAGGTTACGAGCGTCTACAGTGGAACCAGATGCAGTCTTTGAGGACCAGCACTAGAAGCCTCTTGGAACTCACTCCCAAAACAGGAGGTAAGGAAGTGGCATACTATTGCCCAGTGCCACAAAAATGTTTCCCTCAGTGGCACTCTGCCAGGTGGAGGGGTGGCGGGCTGTGATGGGGCCCCATGAGGGAACTGAACACACACAGCTGCTGACAGCCAGCCAGCCCCACAGGCAGCTTGATGCCAGAGACATCAGGCCTCTCTGAACAGCCTGGGCATCAGGAAAAGAAAGCCTAGTTGGCAGAGTTTGCCTAGGAACCAGGCCTGCAGGGCAGAGAGAGGACTTCATTAGAAGAGACGTTGCCAAGCGTTGCACCAGGAGAGCCAGGTACTCTCTCTCTCTGCCGCCGCCTCCTGTGGTGACTGGGCAACCCATTTGGCCTTATATTTAGAGGGACCACTCATCCCAGGGGGCTTGGCATCCTTATTAAAAACTCCCTTTTCAATCTCAAAAGTGTCTCCATCTGGAAAATAAATGATCTGTTCTCTCTATTAATTGTACCTCGGTTTCCTCTAATATGATAGTTTTTTTGGGGGGAGGGCATTATATTTGTAAAAGATTTTTGAACAAAATGGGCTATATCTTAAAATGTATCATTAATTGAATCCCAAAGAGTTGCAAAAGAATGGTCATCGATTCTTAGTAATGAAAAAACACACCATGTTTTCTAGACAGTTAGTTTTTGATAGGTTAATAGGGAGAATAACTCCCTTGAAGAAGAAAAACCTGTTTGTGTTTGTTAGTTTCAAACTCCCTACCCAATCTCTGTAAATTCTAATGGGAAATGAAATATCTGGGCAGGAGGGAAGGGTGAGGAGCAAGGGACTATGGTAATCCACAAACTAGAAAATGAGCTGGAGTCACTGGGCTGTGTCGCAGGGATAATCCTCTGTGTAGACGGCTGCTTTTCTAAAGTCAGCTCGACAGATTTTGCTGGTGCTCTGGGAATTAGCAAATCAGCGCCACTCAAGCTGCGTCCTTCTAGAGCGGCTCCTGGAGGAGAGACCTCTGGGGAGGGCTGCTTTTTAGCCAAAGATCGAAGTACCTCTGTCCCTGGCATCTGAGAATTTTGTTCTTAAGATGCAAGAAAAAAAAAGAGCATATTTTGGTTTCTTTCTTTAAATCCATCTTTCTCAGACCAGTTTTTAAAGGCAGGAGTGTCCCCCGCCTCCACACCACCACATGCGTTATCTTGCTCTTTGCATTGATACTACTGCTTTGTGATGCAAGTGACTGGCAGGAAACGTGGATTTTGAAAATGTGTCACTGGATGTGTCTAACTGCAGGAGAGCTCGAATGATTCAATAAGCAAAGCAGCAGACGGAGAATTTCAAGAGTCTTTCACTGCATTTCCTCCTCCCTCGCAGATTTTGTGTGATTTTTGTCCAAGTCACCACCTTTCAGATCCCAACTGCAAATAAGGTGATGCAACAGAGCAAGCTGAAGTGCTAAGACAGAAGTGAAGATAACGAGGTCTCAGCTCCTCCTTATGTACTGCTTAGATAAAGTATGTGTCTCAGACAGGAGGGAGGGCATCATCAGCTCCACCTTTTGACAGTGCTCTCACTTTATTTTTTTATTATTTTTTTTGAGGAGGATTAGCCCTGAGCTAACTACTGCCGATCCTCCTCTTTTTGCTGAGGAAGACTGGCCCTGAGCTAACATCTGTGCCCATCTTCCTCTACTTTATATGTGGGACGCCTACCACAGCATGGCTTTTGCCAAACGGTGCCATGTCCGCACCCAGGATCTGGACCAGCGAACCCCGGGCCACCAAGAAGCAGAACGTGTGAACTTAACCACTGCGCCACTAGGCCGGCCCCTGCTCTCACTTTAATGGAATCAAACCTTCTGGGTTTAGGGAATGAGATATAATAGGAATTCTCTTCTCTTTCCCATTTTTATTCACCAGAGGGAAACATGTAGTTGGTTTTGAATTAAATACAGATTTCCAAGAGATAACAGGCTATCGTATGGGAAAATTTAATATTGAGGTAATTGCAAAACCGTTTCTATGCTATTTTGCTATATGGATGACAGAGAAAACACCCTAGAAAAAATGTATTTTTAATGAAATGTAGCTGAAAGATTGCTTTCAGAGCATGTAATATTCTCAGATACCAGCTTGGACAATGCAGGCCAAACTGTTTGAGCTCCTGGCCAGATGATCCACTGGATGTCATAAGTTCTGTGTAAATTATTATCTATCTGGAAAAGGCAAATGCATATTTGCTTCTTAAATTTAGGATTTTAGCTTGCTTGCTTTTTTTTTTTTTTGTATCTTAGCTTTCTTCTTTTCCCTCCTTGACATAAAACCAAGGAAGGAAGAAGCCTCCTGCCTCTAACCCTCTCCTATTTCACGTGCCAGAGCAATTACTGCCTGTTAAGAAGCCATTCTACATATAATGTGGTTAGTTAAGTGGCCTAATGCCCCGGTTATCCAGTTAGTCACAGGCAGTAAGGTGGGGATTTAGTTAGCGGAGTCAGACAGAGAAGTGGAAATCTGATTAGCCAGTTGCTTTCTGAGGCTGTTGGCTGAGAGGGCTGTTGAACTGAGTGAGGAGCAGTATTGCTGGGTGAGGTTTAGCTTCAGACAGACTGTAGGAATCTGCTGCTTCCGCAAGGTCTCTTTGAGAACTTTCCCCTAACACAGAATGCCCTTCAGCCTGGAGATAGTCTCATCAGTTTGTCAAACTTGCTTTACGTCTTCTTGCATGTAACAATGTCAGAGATTGGGGCAGGCCCTGTGGCTGAGTGGTTAAGTTCATGCACTCTGCTTCAGCTGCCTGGGGTTCACCCATTTGGATCCTGGGCACAGACCTAGCACTGCTCATCAAGCCATGCTTTGGTGGCGTCCCACATAGAGGAGCTAGAAGAACCTACAGCTAGGATATACAACGATATACTGGGGGCTTTCAGGAGGAGAAAAACCAAACAAACAAAAAAGGAAGATTGGCAAAAACAAACAAAAAAACAATCTCAAAGATAGCCAGATGGCTATGGACCAGATTTCCCATCAGTCTATTTGTTTCTATCTTTTAGGGGCAATCTCATTTCTTTTTCCACTAAGTTACAGCTCGAAGGGCCAGAGGTCTGAGTGTGGTGCCTACCCTGCAGTGGACAGAGGTGCCAAAAGACCTCTGCAGTTCGGCATGTGGTTGTGTGGCCAGGCCTGCAGGCGTACAAGGGAATATTGCACTGAGAGGATTTTGTTTTAAATGCTTGAAGCCAATGGCCATGCTATTGAGAGAGCATTGAACTGTGCAGAGTGCGGAGAAGTTACCTTGACCTCATCTTTTTTCATCCCCCTTCTGACCCTGCCCCAGATACCTACTCTTCCCCTTCTAGTACCCCCTTTTCTGGTGTCTCTCAGTCACAGAGCAGTGACACAATGGTATTCTCTCTTAGCCACCCAGCCTTCCAGACTTGGGCCCCTAGTGGTTCTCCAGGGAGGGAACAAGAAGGGAGTTTCTGTTTTCTCCCTCTGTTGAACACTTCATAACAATGCCCATTGTCCTCATCTGTAGGTTGGGGTCGGTGCAAAGGTCCCTAAAAGGGGAGCCAGTTGGTTCTGTCCGGTTCATCTGCTCAGATGCTGCCACCTAGTGGTTCCTTTTTCTTTAGCACCCTGTGTAAAGTGGAGGAGATGTTATAGACAGTTTTCTACTGCCTTTTCTCTCTCTTTTTTTTCCTCCCGGTCTTAAATTGTTCCCTTTCCTTACCTCTTTATCTATCACATACACAAAAAACTTCCTTTTTTTATTCCTGGGTCATAAAATTGGAAATGAAGGATCTTTTGTGAAACTTGGGATCCACTGACAACATCCCTGATTGTTCCCTGGCTTCTCTCTTTTGATGATGTGAAATGGGTCTCTTACTGCAAGGCTATGATATGGTTGTTATAGAGATGAGGAAGGCTACTGCCGATCCAGGACTGCTCTGAATAGGCATTTGTGGAAATAAAATTGCTATAGCTGCTCAATTGCCCGTCTTTCAAAATTTCTCACGTAGAGAGTCAGGCAATAATAATAGCCAGTCCTTATTGAGTAGTTACTATGTGCCAGGCATTGTTCCAAGTAAGTTACAAATGTTAACTCCTTTAATCTTCCTAATGACCCAGTGAGATGGCGTAGACCCCTTCTAAGGTGAGGAAATTGAGGCATGAAAGGTCAAGTAACTTGCTTTAGAGAACATATGTAGTCAACAGGGAACTGGGATTTATTCCAGGGCTGTCTGGTTCCAGAGTTAATGTTCTTAACCATTACGTTTTGCTGCCTCTTCAAGGCAAAAATACCCCGAGTGCTATGTACAGGCAGCAGGAAAAGGAAGCCGGGCTGTGTATACGCAAGCCCTCCCCAAAGCACTTCCTTGGCCCCTCTCTGGGACTTGTCCAGGACACAGAGGGGTGGTTAACTTGTAACCCAGGCCCGAAAAGGAACTCTCCAATGTGCTGACCCCAAGGACTCGCATCTAGCCCTGTCTCATTTTAGAGAGTCAGCACATAAGAAAAGAGTAACCAAGTAGGCAACCAAAGGAAGAAGCCAGCAGGCCTGGGTTCCAGAGGCGATTCTGCCCTGAGAGACAACTGTGAGTCCCTTCCCTCTCGGGGCTGCTGTTTCCTCTCCGGCTCTCCCTTCCCACTTTGGAGGCAGCGAGAATGCTCAGAACCAGTGTTTTGATACCATTACGAAAAGAAACTCAGCACCATCACACATGGCAAGGAACCAAATCGGAAGTTTATTTGTGCTTTTCAAACCAGCCGAAACAACCAGCAACCTCCTCCTCCAAAGGTTTCCTTCTCTCACACCTTCTCTGTGACAAGCCTGTGGAAAGGCAGAAGTGGATATGGGGACATGTTTGGAGATGGGGTGAGCTATGACAAGGCAGGTTTAGTAACAGGTTTGCCGTGTATGCCTCTTCCCACTTGTCTTGTTGGTGGTTTCCAGTTACAGCAAGGTGTCAGAGACTTCAGGTCTGAAGGGTCTCTTCAGTGAAGGGAGGAGTCTGGCGGGGGTGGCAGGGGTAAGGAGTGGGAGCTCTTGATGATCAGTTTCTTCATAAAGGCAGGATAGAGAGAAGGGTATGTGTCCTAAAGGAGGAAAAATACATAAATTTGTTTTTATGATTCAAAATACAGAAGTATAAAAGGGCAGAGAGTAAAAAGTGTCTCCCTCCTATCCTGTCTTACAGTCACACAGTTTCTCTCTCCTTGGAGAAAGGACTGTGTTATCATTTTCTTTCTCCTTCCAGAGATAGCTCATACATACCTAAGTAATAGGAGACTCCCTTTTTACACAAATGGAGCATATTAGGCCTACTCCCTTCGCTGCTTTTTTGGTTTGTTTACCAACGCCTCTCAGAATGTATTCCACATCAGTGCAGAGAGCTTCCTTTTCTTTTTCACTGTTGCATAGTACTCAATTCTGTGAATGTACTACAGTTATTTGGCTAGGCCTCTATTCATTTCCAGTGGTTTGCTATTACAAATGAGTAGCCTTGTGTGTGCATCATTTGCATGTGTGCAAGTGTAGCTGTAGGATAGACTCCCAGATGTGGGCAAAGAGAATGGGGAGATAAACAACTCTGCCATTAAGTAAGTGACAGAAGGAAGGAGGGTGAATTTGTTTAGATTGGATAGAAAAATTCCACCCCTCTGCTTTCACTGCCAGGAAATGGAGTCCTCATTGGGAGAGTCATGAAGTCAAATCTTGAGTGACAGGCCCGAGCTGGTGCTTTATGTTTGTACAAGTGCATCAGAGAGTAAGATCTATCCTTATGTGTAGTCCTAAATGAATCCACTCAGCTGCTGCTGCACACTAGAGTGGGCCCTGGTCTGGAAGATTCCAAGGACGGTTTATAACACTGTCACACGTGATCCTTCATTTCCAGCAGTAAAGGCTTCTCCCATTTCAGGCCGGAAGATGGAGCTAGCGATGTCATGCTACCCTTGGGTGTCCTCCATCACCACCCTAATTCTAAACAAAATCCACTCTGCGCCAGAGCAACTCCTATTGTTACCCCTACCCAAAGCAAGCACTCACTCCACTGTTTTAAAATATGATATGGTCCTTGCTCATAAAATACAAGCCACATTCTTTATTACCTGAAAGTTAGTTTGATTATGTTCCATAGGAATCCTCACACCGTGGCCAATCATACTGGAATACATGGGCATTTAGGGGAAATGGTGCCCCGGATTTGAGAGCTGGGGATAAAGAAACCCAGACCCATCCCTGTGGCAAAAATTCCTAGTTGTTCCCCAATATCCATCTCCCCTTTTTATTTATTAATGAACCCCCTTTCCACTTTTAAGCTGGACACAAGTTCTACCTAGAATAAAGCTTTCTTTGCAGCTTGGTGTGTCTGGTCAATGAAATGTAAGCAGAAGTGTGTGCAACATCTGTAAAGTATCTTTAAAAGGAGAAGGTGTGCCCATCTCCTTTCATTTTATCTTTCCTCCTGGGTAGGATACAGACATGATAGCTGGAGCTGAAGCATCCATCTTGGGCCATGGAGCAACCCTGGGAATGTTGGACACACACAGTGGAGCAAAAAGAGAGGGTACCTGGGACCTGGATACCTTGGATCATGTACTTCCAGATTTTTACAGAAGAGAAAAATTAATTTCTATGTTAATTAAATCGCTGTTATTTTGAGTTTTCTGTCACATGTAGTTGGACCTAATCATAACTGACACAGTCCCTTAATTTAGGAAAAACAATTCCAGACTCATCTTCTTTCAATGGTGAATCCTTAGCATCACTTTGGAAATGAAGAAAAGCTACTTCACTGGCAAGTCTCATCCTTCACAGAGAGACGAAGGCATGGGCAACAAATTCATTGGCAATAGTTCTGATACCTGGGCTTCATCATTCTTCCACTTCAAAGGCCGTGGTGAGATACTCCTTTGGAACAATCCCAATGAGGCTGTTCAGTTCTCCTACCCACCAGCCGTACATGTTATACTCCTGAAAAATGGAAAGAGGATGGTTTCAGTTGGAATTTGGTCATGCTTCTGTTCATCTCGTGGTGGCTGCGTGGGAGAGTCCTGGTGCGGGGTGGTGTCTTTGCTGACACTATGAGTATGACTCAACACCTCGATGGGATTGCTGAATTTAAGTCATCTGGAGGAGGAAAGAAAACTCCACTTTCATTTTGCCATTTTCCTGTCTACATTGTAAACTTAGCACATTTGATGCTGATGAACCTAAAGAGCATGTGTTTTACCAAGCAAAGTAGAATGGCTCCTCCAGAGAAAGTTGGGCACACCCGAAAATGCCAGGACACTAAAGATATCCAGGGAGTCAGGTCACAGTTTAAATCAATAATGTTTCCCAAGCATCTTGTATGTGGAAAGTGCTGCCCGGGTTCCCATGAGATATATAACGAGGAATCGGAACACTGCTTGCTCCTTGGGAGCTTACAGCAGAGAGTAATGGGCTTGGAGTCAGACAGACTGGGATCTAATCTCCGCCTGGTCCTTTAGTAGCCATGTGACCTCAGACTCTCCCAGCTTTCACTTCCTTTTCGTAAGAGTAGGGATCAGATCACCCCTCCCGTTTGTTGTGGGGATGTTGGTGATGCCGCATTAGTGAAAACAATTCAAAGTGTCTGATACAGAGTAGGTGCTCTAAACATTAGATTCCTCCCCTGGAAGAGAGGAGAGGTTGACCTGTACGTCAATAATGACAGGCAGGACATAAGAGCCACAGAGAGGGGCAAACAAGAAAGGGAGTGAGAGGGTTTAAAAGAAGGGGTGGTCACAGGGTTGAGAATGAAACTCCTTGAATACAGAAGAGCTTCTCAAAAGCACAGCAGATGTTGAACATTATGAGAGTATTCCTGAAAGCACCAGAAAACGTTTTCCTCTGGAGGAAGTAAAATTTAGAAATACATGGGAAATACGATATATTCCAATTCAACTGGATTTGGGGTACCACGAAGCTAACCGTCTGCTTTTTGCACACCTGCCTGTTGAGTTCTACTAGGAAAAAAAAACAAAAAAAAAAACGGGCTGGGCCTGTGGCCAAGTGGTTGGGTTTGCGTTCTCTGCTGTGGCGGCCCAGGGTTTCGCCGGTTCATATCCTGGGTGTGGCATGGCACTGCTGGACAAGCCATGGTGAGGCGGCGTCCCACATGCCACAACCAGAAGGACCCTCAACTAAAAATATACAACTATGTACTGGGGGTCTTTGGGGAGAAAAAGGAAAAATCTATTTTTTTTTTTTTTTAAGATTGGCACCTGAGCTAACAACTTTTGCCAATCTTCTTCTTTTTTTCTTCCTGCTTTGTCTCCCCAGATCCCCCCAGTACATAGTTGTATATTTTAGTTGTGGGTCCTTCTGGTTGTGGCATGTGGGACACCACCTCAACATAGCCTTGTGAGCGATGCCATGTCTGTGCCCAGAATCCAAACCAGCGAAATCCTGGGCCGCCAAAGCAGAGTGTGCGAACTTAACCACTCAGCCACCGGGCTGGCCCCAAAAATAAAATAGAGAAAAAAATAACCCCCCCCCCCAAAAAAAAACCGAGGTTGGTGACACAATAAAATTCCGGGCCAAATGGTTATCTTTTTGTTTCTTTTTGATAGCCTATCTCTCCTCCTCCAACTCTGCCTCCCTCCTCCCTCTCAGCAGATGACCTCTTTTCTATCTTCAAAGAGAAAATAGAGGCCATCAGATCTGTCACCCTTCAGCCACCAAAAAAGGAACTTACCTGTATTGACAACCATCCTTCTTACCCATTAAAGTGGAGGAGACGTCCCTCCCCTGGTTTAAGGCCATCCCTCACAGCGTGTACTTGGGTTTAAGACTGTCCCTCATAACAGGCACTTGGAACCCTTCTGCTTGCTTGCTTTCTTAGAGACAAGGTTCTGTAGAGTCCGACCTCCACAGAAGGGCTCACATAATGTAAATGGCTCCTTCCAGCAGCGATGAAAGGTGTTCAAGTTTCTTCGTCTTTGAAGACAGTTATTAGTCTCCACCGCATGTCTACTTCCCATTTCTACTAGTGCCTGCCGACTGCCAATTCACAAACTTACTGAAAGAGTTTATGTCACTACTGCCCCCACACCTTGCTTTCTATTCACTCTTCAAGCCGCTCTAATCAGGCTTCTGCCTCCATCACTCCGCTTACACTTTCTCTCCATGGTCTCCTATAGTCTCCTTATTGCTCAGATTCTGTAGGTACTTCTCAGTCCTTAACTTGTTTTCTTAGCAGTGCTGGCACTATGCACCCTTCTTGAGGCATTTTCTTCTTAGTTTCTCTGATAATTCTCTCTCTTGGATTCCCTCCTACCTCTGTGGTTGCTTCTTGTCATTCTCCTTTGCAAGCTCATCTTCCTCTATACCTCCTTTAAATGTAGTTGTTTTCCAGGGTTCTGTCCCAGCCGCCGCCACCTTCTTTTTTTTTTTTTGAGGAAGATTAGCCTTGAGCTAACTACTGCCAGTCCCCCTCTTTTTTGCTGAGGAAGCCTGGCCCTGAGCTAACATCTGTGCCCATCTCCCTTTACACTATATGTGGGACGCCTACCACAGCATGGCATGCCAAGCGGTGCCATGTCTGCACCCAGGATTCGAACCGGCGAACCCCGGGCTGCCGAGAAGCGGAACATGTGAACTTAACTGCTGCACCACTGGGCCAGCTCCCCAGCCTTCTTCTTGATGCACTTTCCTTGAGCAGTCTTATACACCTCTGCGGTCTAGCCACCACGTCTGTGTAAACGACTCACGACCATAGCTCCAGCCCAGATCTGAGTGTTGGCCCCAGTACCCAAGTGCGTGTCCATCAAGCTGCTCAAACTCAGTGTATCCTAAATTTAACCCTTCATCCTACCTCTATCTCCATTCCCTCTCCCAAACTATCTTTACCTCTTGTGTTCTCTATCTCAGTGAATGGTACCACTATGCACTCAGTTACTCAAGCCACAAACCCGAGTTGTTCCCAATTTCACTCTCCTCTTCCCATCAGTCCTTGAGTTCTGTCTATTCTCTTTCCAAAATATTATCAGAACTATCCGCTTCTCTTCATTCCCACTGCCAATACCCCAGAGTCATGTCACTGTCATCTTTCATGAGGACTACGGAAACTACCTCCAAATTGGTTTCTGTACCTCCAATTTTGTTCCCCTCCAATCTGTTCTTCATTCTGCAGCCAGAATCTTTCAAAATGCACATTGACAACATCACTGCTCTGCTTGAAGCCTTTAAGCGGGTGCTCACTGCCTGCTGTCCACTTCTTAACACGGTGGACAAAGCCTTGCATGAGCTGGTCCCGCTCACTGCCCAGCATTGCCATTCAGCCCCTAAATCTAGTGGACCCTTGGTAAAAGAGAACTTAGCTCGGCTGCTCCCATGGGCCACAGGCTCTCTCACCTTGGCGCCTTTCCTCTGCCTGTTTAGCCTCTACTTCCCTCCTCCTTTTCATGTGGTTCACTCCTAAGCAGCCTTCAGGTCTGAATTCCTGAGTCTCTCCAGACTCTAGAAGCCTCTTCTTGCCACCCTCTGACAGTGTCCCAGCTATGTACTCTGCCCTGTGCTTGCCGGGAAATGAACTCATTGCACTGCCTTGTATCTGTCTGCCTTTGTCTCAGTGCCAATCGCTAGGTGGAAAGTTCCCTGAGAGCTGGGACCTTGTTGGTTTTGTTTGCTGTTGTATTACCAGCACTCAGCATGGTACCTGGCACAGAGTGGGGCCAAAAAAATACTTGTTAAATGAGTTTATGAAAACATGGAGAGAACAGTGGGGATTTATACTCTCAGTTGAGCAGATTTAGTTACAACTAACTCCAAGATATTCCCTTGGTGATTGAACTAGTTGTGGCAGGAAGAGAGCAACTGCCTTTGGAGACAGTTTCCCCAAATGGCTGCCTAAATACCAAGAGAGCCTCCACGGCCATAAGAACGGAGACTACTGAGTTGATCCTAAAAGGAACAGGGAATTACCTTTTAAAAATCAGTCTTAAATAAATGAATGTGTCCACCACCTGTCCCTCACTGTCTTCACCACACCTTCTCATTCCCTCCCTCCCCGTGGGCAACTTCCCTCAAAGTCTGCACTGCCTTATGGGAAATTACCCAGAATTCCTTAGCCTATGCTTGTCGGGACATTTCACAGCTCCTCTTGGTACAAGTTATGTTCCCATCCATTTTCCAATACTGAAGTTAGGGCAGTTTCTGCCTTACATTTTCTTGGAGCGTTGCCTTGTATTAGGACATGGCCAGGACGGCCACGTCTACAGGGCCTCACTGTGAAGGGAACACATATTCTGTCTTCCTTTCTCACCATAATTCATAAAAACTCTGGCTTTAGTTCTGCTATCTCATGAGCAGAGGGTGCGCACAATGTTGTCTCACAGTCTTTTGATCAAAGTCAACTTGCCTAACTGTGTGAAGTGTGGTCTTCTACCTGCCAGATGCTGTCATCTTCATCACTGAGGGGCTCAATTAGGGCATTCTCTCCCTAGGGGCCTGACTCACCTTCAAGACTCCTGCCTGACTCACTCTTGGCAGCATGCCCCTTTAGCCGTGAAGCCAGGAGTGGGGACTGAGCCTTGGGAAGGCCGTCTCTGCTGACTCGAAGAGGGTGCAAACAGGAAGCAGATGAGGCCAGCAGGACACCTGCAAAGTCCGGGCTCCCAGTCAGTGTGCTCTTGCTGGAGGGGAATGCTGACCCTGCCGACCACAGATGTAGTAACTCTCACAGTGGTGAGAACTGAAATGAGTGAAATCAACTCTCTGCCCTTCAAAACAAAAGAGCAGGCAGAAGTGTAAGGAGGATGGCACAGTCTCAGAGACCATATGTATCCTGCTGTGGGAGCCTAGGAGCTTAATCAAAGCACCTACAGGTCTTGCGATCTGACTGTCTTCTCCAGATTTCATCCCTTGGCTGGATACCCGAAAAGGGCTGCAGGGCTGAGATGTTTAAAGCATGAATGGAAAATTTCTAGCCTTCTCTTCCACTACCACCC